AACTTTTTGCAAAATATTAGGACACTGCGGAAGTGAATGTACATCTACGTTTGGCAGTTTAAGGGTTAAACCATACCACGGTGGGGATAGAACCCGCAATCAGAGTCATAAAACTCCCAGATCGTATGCTAGCCACTGGGCCAGCTGGCTACAGCAAGATTCGTCCAACTAGGTATATTTATACCCCAAAAGGGAAAAGATTAGCATAGGCACCACTGTGACCACAAATGCAAGTTTTTACAGATAAATCTCCCACCAGCATGGCTGTGACTAGCTCTAGCTCAAGTCCCCTCAAACCGTCAACATGACTAGCGTGTCGGTCTAGAGTTTATGACTCTCCTATCACGGGTTCTATCCCCGCCCATGTATGGTTTTTTTTGCCAAACGTTTCATTACGATTTTGAGAGTCATGTTGACGGCTTTGAGGAGACTCGAGCTAGAGCTAAATCACGGCCACGCTGGCAGAAGACTCGTCTGTAAAAACTTACATTTGTGGTCACAATGGTGCCTATGCTAACCTTCCTATGATGTATAAATATATCTAGTTGGACTTTAAACTTCTTGTAGCCACTGGCCCAGTGGCTAGCGTGTCGGTCTGGAGTTTTATGGCTCTCTGATCGCAGGTTCTATCCCTGCCCATAGTATGGTTTGTTTGCAATCATGTCATTATGATTTTATGAGTAACTATATACTCTTGTAACAGGTTGAGAATTTAAGATCAAATTTTAAGCAAAAAGTCAAAGGGGCCCATTAATTCGTGGAAACTACGCTTGGTGCATCAAAAAAAAGTTTTTAAAATGCAAATAGGGTTTTACTGAGTGTGGGTTTTTAAACCTTTATGGGACCAAAGAAGTAGGAATCTAGTGTATGATAAGCCTCACTATGTCAAAATTTCAGCCTTTCCAAAAATAGTATCCACAGGTCAACCCCTGACTTTTTGCTTAAAAATTTGGTCTTAAAATCTCGACTATATAAGGTTTGCATAGAATGGTATACAATAACTGACAAGTGAAAATTAGACACATGCAACATTTGGGTATCTTTAATGAAGATGTTTTGCCATGCAGTGGCTTTATCAACATAAAATTTTAGGACATAATTGAAAACAGTAGAACTAAAATCAAAAGATGAGGTAATCAGTCCCTCACCTTGGAGTTAGTGTGAAAATACCATAATCATGAAGAATCTGGAGCACAAGCAAGAAGGCTGGCACTTATATACTGGCATCAGATGAAAAGGGACGGTAGCAGACGAGCGCATTGTCACTGGTAGGCGGGATTCCCCATGGAAGTAGGTCATATCCAAGGGGTGGTTTAGTAGAAGTGAACAAGGTTGGGAGATTTTCCTCTGATTTCCTGGATAGATCTGTCATTTCAGCAGAGCCTTCAACAAAGGAGGATGTGGGTGGCCTTACTGTTATGTACAAGGCCAATACTGTCAAAATACCACACTTTGGATCCACTTTGAGGACAGCTGAAACAAGCTTTTATGCCACAAGACGGGCAGAAAGCAGCAACTTCACTCTGGCTGTACCCTTCTCCAGAACATCACTCCATCTGAGATCATACATACCCAGGATGACTCGAGTATGGAACACATTCGTACAGCATAATGATGTCAACGAGATAAAGTCAGTTGATCAAATGAAAATGCTGGCCCACAGATGGCTCCAACTTCATCCTGTTCCCTACTTGTATGTCTCTTAACAATAAAAAAAGCTTTCAAATGAGCTGATGTAGGTAACAGCTCTTAGCTTGCCAATAAAGTTAGGAATCCTTAACCTGTAAATAGCTTGTCAATAAAGTTTTGGGATCCTTAAACGTGTCAAACCCTGTGTTAAAAAAAAAAAAAAAAAAAAAAAAAAAAAAAAAAAAAAAAACAAGATGCCATGATGTTGCAGTGTCTGACAAGTTGTACATGAATGGTATACAATAATGACAAGATGAAAATTAGACACATATGTAACATCTCGGTATCCTAGTGTAGACATTTGCCATCCAGTGGCTTTATCAACGCAATACATGGAATCTTGGTTCAGAGGACATCTCCACAACCTTCATCACTTCTACTAACCAATCCCTTAGGTAAGACCTACTTCCACTGGGGAATCCCGCCTACCGACAATCCCTTCATCTGTTACCTGTCCCCTTTTCATCTGATGCCAGCATACAAGCGCCAGCCTTCTTGCTTGTACTCCAGATTTTTCATGACTACGGTGCTCTTCACACCACCTCTAAGGCTGAGGGACTGATTACCTCATCTTCTGTATATAGTCTACTGTCTTCAAATTATGTCCTGGTATTGTATTGATAAAGCATGTGTAATTTTCATCTATACAAGGTTACATATAATAAAAAAAATATGGATTCCAGAACTAAAAAAAAAAAATTATAAAGAAATGTAGGAAACAGTGGATAAGTCCTCTTTGGAAGATACAAGAAAATATTTGTTAAGACAACGCTAGTCCATAAGAGGATATAAAAATAAATGAAGCTCCCAGACAAGGCAGAATGCTACAACTACTGACAACTTTAAAGCATTAAAAGAAATTAATGATAAGAAAAAGGGACAACCTGGAGTTTACCTGAATAAGCATCTTTCCCTCGTAATTGCTGTAAGTATGTACAGTGGAACCTCTACTTGCGAGTTTAATCTGTTCCATGACCTTGCTTGCAACTGGATTTGCTTGTTTTCAGAGTCAATTTTCCCCATTTAAATTAAATTGAATCCAATTAATCTGTTCCAGTGGAATTCTGTACTTCAATAATTTTGCTAATATCATCTCTACGGCTTATTTATCTATCACAGTTCATCTAATATGACATAACAAACAATATGAAATAAAATAGAAACATGATAATATACTCTAGAATGAATAAAATATGTCGTTCATGTAGTGGTAGTGGGCGTGTCGGCATGGGACGAGAGTTTTTTGAGACCGGGCAAAATACTTCATGAATAATTATCGCTAACATCATACATGTATATGGCTTATTTATCTATCACAGTTATCTAATATACAAAACAAAACAAATAAAATAAAATAAAACCAATAATATACTCTAAAAATGAAATAAAATATTCATTGTTAACAGGTGGAACGGCACAACCTCTCCCTCTTTATTGTGGTAAACCCTGCATAAGTGACAGCCTTTTGAAGCTGTCTGTTAATTACATGTAGTATATTATTATGCTAATAATAATACATATATAATATATATAATAAATACATTTTAAAATATATAATAAAATACATATATAATTATATAAAATTACATACATAATATATATAATAATTACAATATAATATTAATAATAATACATTATATATATTATAATAATAATATTTAATATACAATAATAAACATATATAAATAAAATAATAATACATTATTAATAATAATAATATTCTTATTATTATCGTATTATATTATTACACAATTGTTAAACGTATTATTATTATACATATTATTATTATTATTAATTATTAATTATTATTATTATTATATTAATTTGTAACTTTTATTCACACAAAAAATATAAGATTTACTGTTATTCCTTATTGCATTAATTGTATAAATAATGTCAACCCATTCACAACTGCATACTGGAATGGCCAAGCAATGGACCATTTCTCCAAGGTACTTATCTCATGAAAGCAATCAAAATCATATCTATTTCTGTAATATATCTTCCATTCTATCAAATGAGACCAAAAAACGAGAATACAACCATAAAAACCATTCGAAATTGCCGCTAAGGGTGGCTAATTGCTGAGAAGTGAACTCCATTATTTATGCTTAGATCTCTTTCATTTTGGTGTATGTTAAGAAGCATCTTTCCATCCTACATTGCCCAAGTTTCAATAAGATAGCCCAACAAACAAATGAGATACATTCCCGAGATCAAGAGCAAGAGCCCCTCACCAGTGTCAAGGAAACCTGCCTTGAGGTCTGCTCGCTTGTGGAAATTTTGCTCGTGTATGGAAGCAAAAAATCGACCCATCAACTGCTCGTAAATTTTGGAAAAACTTGCACGTGGACACGCTCACAAGTAGAGTTCCTCTTAATTACATTTACAGTAGAGCATTTCTAGTTTAAATTTGCAAAAACATTATATATTTGCCTATAAAAGCTTATGGTTATTCAGTCTTGACATGTTCTTTCATGTTTCAGCATGAAATGATTATATCCCCAGCATCCAGTGATTCATCAGTCTTACAGGTTAGGTGTAGAGATTTTGCTCCTCCTCAATTAATTTCTCACAATCTTGGTTCCTGGAGCTATAAATAAGAGTATTAACAGCAATATTTTGCTTTGTCAGGCATATAACAAGTTCCCACCACAGAAGAGGAAAACTTCGTAAGGAAAAGACAAATGCAAGGATTGATCCCATGGCCAATTTTTAATGAGTTCAATGAGTGAGTGAGAGTTCCAAGTCAGCAGAATGAATGTCCCTAATGGCTCTTTAAGATTCCTCACAAATTCTATTGCCTTTTCAGTACTTTTAACATAATCAATGGATATGATAATCTCAGGATGACAAGATTTCTTATTTAGTAGCTGTAATAAAGGTTCCATCTTGAGTACAGCAGTAACAGAGTTTCTCAGTCGAATACAAGAAGGGATGCCTAAGGATGTGTTCTCAAGGACCCACTTTACACTCTGTGGGTCATAGCCATCAAGGAAATCTGATAATGTTTGTCCTTTAAACATGTTTTTGAGGATTTCTTTAGCTTTCTACATTTGTCTCTAACATATCCTGAACTATACGACTCATTGCAATGAAAGACCATGGTGTCTGTACTAAAGCTATCTGAATAATTTCACTTGCCCTTTCTTTTGTTATCTCATTTTCTTGGGATAGTAAACCAGTTATAAATTCTATTACTGGGATTAATCTCTGTAGCTTCTTGTCTTCTCCATCACCTCCATGGAATCCTAGAATATCTCTGAGTGATTTATCATTCACTATCACATCTTCAACAATAAATTCGGCTGCTGGGAATTCTTGTTGACAGTTGTGTGCAAATGTCCAAAACTCATGAGAATCGGTAAGGGAAATCTGGATATCACAATGCAAGAATGTTGAAATTGCTGCCATGCCATCAACATGCAAGCTGTCTGCTTTTCTTTTAAGTTTAGTTACATTTCTTTTATCTAGGTAATGCTGATTTTTTTAAGATTAGCCCATGCTATTTCTCCCAAGGTTAACATCCATTCCCGGCATTGTTCGTGATCAGATATGTTGAGCTTGGAACTGAGTCTCTTCAGCATAAATTCTATGAGTTTTCTATAGAGCTGTGTAATGGTCTTTGCTTCCATAGCATTCTTGCAGTCATCTATCCATAACATAACTAAAAGTGTTAAAGTCAGTGGCAACTGTGTAAGTACCTCCAGCTGTTCTCCCAGTTTATTCAGGTAAGCAAAAAACTGGTTACATCTTTGCTGTTGATTTACCCCTAGTGTAACATCAAAGAGTTTTTGAATAAATTCATTCCGTTTGTCATTCTTGAAGCCTGTCAAACTGAGTACTTTCATGCAACTTGAGGAAATTTGGTTAACTTTAGATTTAAGTTTTGGTACCCACTGTGGCCTTGAAGTTATGATCATTTTACTTTCTGGTAAAAATTTGAGAATATCATCTAAAAGATCCTTGGCCTCAGTGCGAGCTTCATCATAGCCATCTACCAAGAACGTCACCCTTGATTCCTGCATCAAAGGAATGATATCATCCATATCAATGCACCTGAATGTCTTTGGCAAAATGGTTTTCAAGTATGATGATATAGAAGATGTAGTAACATATCTGCACTGTATATAGATTAGTAAATCAACAGATTTCTGGCTGACATGTTTTTGACAAGTTGTCCAAAGATGAATGAGGAACTTACATAGGGATGTCTTTCCAGCCCCTGCAACACCTTGTACAATAATAACTCTTGACCCTATCTCCTCACTTTGTTCTAATAACACAGGAAACACTCTCTCTTTCAAGGAAAATGTATTTCCAATTTTCACATCAACAGCATCCACAATTTCCAAATCTGTAAATAGCTTGTCTATGGTCATATTTCTATGTTGGTCAGTATAACTCCATGTAACTGGAGAAATATTTGTGAAAGCATCAAGACTATACTGGTTGAGTAGCTCTTTTTCAGCATCATGCGCCATCTGGCTTGCTAATGTTTCTTGGAGAATTTTTATCTTAGTTAAGTAATTCTCTTTATCAAGCAAGAAAGGTGGTGGTTCAGCAAGTGGTTGTATTTCATTTTTCATGTGTCAATTTTATCCTTTAAGTCCTTCTTTGATAAAGAACTAGCTTTAAGCAAAATACTTTCTAAGAGGCATTCTAAATTCTGAATCTTTGACTTGAGATCCTCATTGCTAATGCAAATTATCTTGTGAGCCAATTCATTTCTCATGGTTTTTACAGAGTTGAGACAATATTCAAGAGTGTCACCTTGAGTGATCCAAATAGCATCACCAGGTGCAGCCAAATCACATGCAAACCTTAAAAGTTTATATAGTGTGGTAATGTCTAGCTCTCTTATATCTCCCTTCACTTGGTTCAGTTCAATAGCAGTGAAAGATTTCTTATTAACTTTACCAATATCACCAGAAAGAGCAAAATAGACCTCACACATGACCTTTGCTGCTACTCCTCCAGGACATAAAGCTTTGAATAAATGTACAACATTAGCTTCTTCAGGTGTTACAGAATTGAAAGAATATGGTGTCTGACTAGGCAATAACTGTTTTCTCTGGAGTGGAGGGAGTGGGTGCTTGGCATGTGTGAAAGATGTCAGGCTCCTGGGGTGTATGAGAGGGGCCAGGTTCCTGGTGTGCACGAAAGGAGGGACCTGGCTCTTTGGCTGTTGGAGAAAAGCTAAGCTCTTGTGATGTCTGAGTTAAAAAAACAGCCTGCTGAGATATACGAGAGAACAAAACATCACAGAATTGAAAGGAATCATCCATACAAACTGGCTCATCTGGCATCTCTCTCAGAATGTTCTTGTTTTGTTTTATTATGTTTCTCTGCAATCAACTCAATATTCTGTCCAAGTATCTGTATAACTTGTGCGAGTTGTTTGCAAATTTTTGCACATCTAGGAATGCTGCGCAGTCATGCTCTTGCTTTATGCAGAAAAGGCAATATTCTATTGTATTTTGAGATGTAGGCCACTCTTTATGGCTTGACAGATCACACACACGTGGCAGGAGTTTATATAAGAGATGGATAGACACATTTTCTGGCTGGAAGGATTATTCTCAATATGTCTTTTTCTCTACGTGTGAAACATACCATTGGTCTAACGTATGTTTGTGTCTTCCTTAAGGTAGTCATAGATACTTTTTTCATTAAGGCAGTTCAGTTGTTTAAATACCATTACAATATTCTATGTATTATATCTGGGTTAAAATTTTGTACATGTATGGTATGTCAGAAGAGGAGGATGCATTTGCACATGGGCCCACTGGTGTCATCGTGGAATTTTTTAGTACCTCTCTGCGGACGGTCTCAACATCTACCTGCTTCATTTCCTGAACTTTGTCAAGAATTTTTTGATAGACACTGTTGCAGAATGTCAAGCCCTGTGATTAAGACACTGATCTGTTAAGGCAGCAGCCTCATTTAAAGTTTCCATTTGTTCCCAAGCAGAATTAATGAGAACTCTAGCGAGTCCTTGTTGTGCCATGTGTCATCCTCACGTGGAGCCAGACCACACACATACCTAACTAATTTGTACAAAACCTTCAAGTTTAGGTGTTCTGGAGCTATGCTTGTTTGGACCATTGTCATTCTCTTCAACTGAAAAAACATGTTTAATGTACCCTGGAGCAATTTCTTGTATACAGTAATCATAAATACTTCTGCCTTTTAAGAGAGACATGTGTTTATACACTTCAGAAAAAGTCAACACAACAGAGTGTCTAACAAGGTTACACCTTTCCATTGTTGGATGCACTGCAGGCAACAATGACACATTTTCATCTATCATAGCCATTATTAATTTAGGGATACCTCAAATGAAGTGCATAGTACTGACAGCAGTCAAGTATACTGGGTGGCCTTCTGAAGCAGTTGGGTGGACAGGTGGCTGGAAGGACACTCATGAATGATGTTGCCAGGTGACACTATCCACAGTCAAACATCTGTTTGGGAGCAAAAAAAAGCAATTTTATGCATTTAATGTAATTTGAAAAATATTATGACTATATTAAAAGTAGTAGGTTGGTAGACAGCAACCACCCAGGGAGGTACTACTGTCCAGCCAAATGAGTAAGACAGAAAGCTGTATTGTTTTAAACATGATGGCAGAAGTGCTGAGTCTTCTTTTTTCTGTCTCATAAACATACAAGATAACAGGTACTGTATATCTGCTACTTTACTCACATTTAGGTCACACTACACATGCATGTACACATTTATGTAACACACTCACCTGAATTTCTTTGGTTTTTCTTAATTCTTATTCTTATTATTTTCCTTTCATATCCATGGGGAAGTGGAATAAGAATCTTTCCTTCGTAAGCCATGCGTGTTTAAAAATCAACTAAAATGCCGAGAGCAATGGCTAGTAACCCCTTTTTCTGTACAGCTTACATAAAAAAAAAAGAAGAAAAAGTTGAGAAAAGTCTGAATGTGATGGATGAAGGGGCAGATGATAAGAGATGACTGTGATTGTTATGAATGAAAAGAAGCTTGGATGTCCTGGCTCTAAGTGAAAAAAAAGCTGAAAGGGTGGGAGAGTTTCAGGGGGGAGAAATAAATGAGATTTGGTCAGGGGTTTCTAAACAGAGTTACAGCTAAGGAAGGAGTAGCAATGATGTTGAAGGATCAGTTATGGCAGAAAAGAGGGAATAAAAATGTATAAATTCAAGGATTATGTTGGAATAAATTTACCCTTTGACTGTTTCTGTCATATATATAATCTTTCAAGGCCAGTGTTTTTGACGTATTAATATGCCAAAATCGGGGGAAAGCTGGGAGCCCACATGCGAGAGAATGGGTCTATGGTCAGTGTGTGTAGTATAAAAAAATCCTGCAGCACGCAGTGCATGAGAAAAAAAAAATCCGACCCGTGTTTTTTGGACTGAAAAGCTGAATTTGAGGTGTATTTTCATATAGTATTTTTGGTTGCATTCTCGTTTCTGGTCTCATTTGAGAGAATGGAAAACATTACAGAAATAGAGATGATTTTGATTGGTTTCACGATGAAAAAGGGCCTTGAAATTGAGCTCAAAGTAGTGGAAATGTTTGAGTTTTCCGATGTTCAAGAGTAAACAAATGATTTTCACTGTCCAAAAAGTGTCCAACTAACCATTCTAAAAATGCAGTCACACGTGAGTTGACATTTTTTTTATACAATTATGCAGTGGTCTGCATAAAAGTAAATCTTCTATTTTTGTGCGAATAAAAATTCAAAATAGAAAGTAAAGTAATATAAGAGGGCCTAGAGATGTGCTGATGAACAGAGAAAATGTTATTTTAGTGCCAGAAACATCTGCGTTGTTCTTCTGACCCTATTTAAAACGGGTCTTTTTTAATTTGGTGAAAAATTGGCCAAATTTCCAAATTCTGACCACTTTTTTTGGGAGTTGAAATCGGTAAAAGGGGGGTTTTTTGTAGTCAATCGATAGAACAAATGGAGTTCTAAAGAAATAGCATAGTTTTGGTCAACTGGAACAAAGGAATTTGCAAAAAGGGGCCAAGGGGTAAAATC